GAACCAAAGGTTACTGGGAAAGATCGGCGATCGCTCCGCGAAGTCGGTCCAACCGGTAGACTTATCCCCGAAGGAGACATTGAAGAACCTGGAGAGATCATCAAGATCTTGAAAGAAAAGAAGTTGGCTCCTGAGGAGATTGAACATTGGAGCATGGGGAAGAAAGGGGACGGCATTGTATATCTCACTGATGATGGTGAAGCCTGCAAGATCGATAAGAGGGGAGTCCCATACAAGATCCGAAGCGACGGTCGACGAACTCTCCCTACACGGCGACCTATCCTACTCCTATTCTCCGGAAGCATGGAAGAAAATGAGTGAAGCGGAGAAGAAGGCAGCGTACAAGAAAGAAAAGCGAGACAAAGCTCGAGTTGCCAAGAAGGACCGGAAGAAGGCCGCGATAGGAAAGAAGATAGTCACCAAGATTTTGGACAACATGATCTTTCCCAAGATTGTTCCATGTGAAGAAATTGATCTGCAACTCAACGTGTCCATCGACGACGACGATGGGTGGTCCTGGGCACAGTCCTATGTGGATCAATACACACAAGAACAATTCTTGGCAGATGTCGTGCCGGCCGTTCCGGCGCATATGGTCATGGATGATAACTGGATTCCGTCTATGCCGTGTACGACTTCTCACAGAAACGTACATCGGGAAAAGAATCATGCAGGAGGATCATGCTTCAATGCCATGGTCACTCGACCCGTCACACGCAAAGAGATGATCAATAACCCCAAGGCCATGGAAGCTTTCATGAAAGAGTGGAAGGGATTGTGGGACCAAGAGGTGTTTGATTTCTCAACTACGCGTGAATATGACGATGTCGTCGCCGAGGCAAAGAAGAAAGGTGAGAAAGTACATATGGCGCGAGTACATGGACTGATATATGAGAAGAACTATCAGCTCAAAGAGGACGATCCTGCCAGGAAGTTCAAAGGGCGAGGCGTACTACTCGGTGATCAGGTCAAAGATCAAAATATGGAAGCCGCGTTGTTTCAGGATTTGGGGAATTCCCCGGCTACGTTTGACGCCTCACGGTGGGCAGATTACTACGGATGCCTCCCTGGCAACGATGTTCAGATGGCGGATGCTATCCAAGCCTACATTCAGGCGAGGTTATCGGGCACTCCATGTTGGGTTGAACTGCCTGATGAGGCCTGGCATCCATCTGCAAAACGGCATAAATTCCGTAGACCTGTGTGTCGCTTGATCAAAGCTCTATATGGACATCCTGATGCAGGAACCATGTGGGAACAACATTGCCATACCGCGGTACAGAAAGTAGGATTCAAGCCGATTGGCGACGAATGGCCATCATTGTATTTCCACCCGCAGATGAAGCTCTTACTTGTCATCTACGTGGATGATCTCAAGATGGCAGGGCCCAAAGAGAATCTGCCTAAGGGTTGGGACATGCTGCGCCAAGAACTTCGATTGGAAGAAGAGACGCCACTAGGCTTGTATCTGGGTTGTCGCATCTCCAAGCGCGAGGCAACGTTGCATGACAAAACGAAGGTGCAGACCGTTACCTACGACATGGAGACGTACCTGGACATGACAGTCAAGAAGTACTGCGACGTGACTGGGTTCGATCCGACAAAATTCAAGACGGTACCATCGCCGAGTCCGGCTGAGGAGACTAAGAATCACCCAGCTCGTGCTCCGGCACAGTCAGGTAAAAGCCATCGATGCACGTGGTGTGGACACACCATGCCTGTTGATAAGGATGGTCGGCTTGTTCCGCCTCCACCTATTCCCAAGGCGCCAGAGGAAGAGGAAGTCAACGAGGCTAATCGCGGTGCACTTGCCCCGCAGGCAGCGAGCATTCTCATGAAATTGCTTTATGCCGCGCGCATTTGCCGCTTTGATCTTCTGCGCAGTATCAACAATCTCGCACGCAAGATCACGAAATGGACCAAGAAGGAGGATGCGCTGCTTCATCATCTCATGGCCTATGTGCACCAGTCCAAACATCACATGATGATTGGATGGGTCGGGAACTCCTTGGAGGACTCGTCCATCGGACTGTTTGCAGATGCGGACTATGCAGGTTGTGGAGAAAGTTTGAAATCTACCTCCGGTGCTCACTTGCACATTCAAGGTTCTCACACAAGATTTCCCTTGGCGGGACTTAGCAAAAGGCAGGGGTGCTTGAGTCACTCCACACCTGAGGCCGAGATTGTCGCGGCCGACTTTGCCATGTCACGTCTTGGATTGCCTGCTATCACGTTGTGGCAGCAGCTTGGGGGTCAAGACCCCAACTTCGTCTTCTACGACGACAACCAGACCATGATCGGGGTGATTCGCACGGGCAAGAATCCGACAATGCGTCACTTGGAGCGTACCCACGGCATCTGCATTGGCTGGATGCACTCTATCTTTCAGGAGGGCTACGTTTCTCTTGCTTATGAGGTCACTGCCAAGATGTCGGCGGACATACACACCAAGTCGTTCAAGGATTCCGTATCCTGGACACATGCGTGTCAACTCATCAACATTTTTCCGCCGGCCCTCATCGGCTCCCAAGAGATTATGGATCTGATGCGCCCTACTCATACCCAAAGCACGGATGAGAAGGGTCAACAGCACTACTCATTCAAGAGCGAAGTGCCCTGTTTTCCTTACACGCAGACGCCGATCCTCCCTCAGGTGTTGTATCGCGCTGGCTTGTCGAGTAAGGAAGGCTTGCAAGAACATGACAGTGTGGACCCCATCCTGGTTGTCAAGTTCCCGCGCATGCTGCGGGGGCCGCCTTCCGCGTTGCCGCCTGGTCGCTACCTTCGGTCGACTTGGATTCTTCGTGAAGGGCAGTGGCACCAAATGGAGGACCGTGCTGCTATCCTTGATCAACCGGGCAAGTTCGACCGCTATGTGGAGCGTGCTGTGTTTCAGTACCATCCGGTACGGGGGCATTTGCGCCCAGCCGCTATTGCGGACGTCCTTGCGCCGCCGTTTCTGCCTCCTCCTGACCCGCCTTTGGGCCAGTCTTATGTGCGCGCCCTGCCCGCCAAATGGCGTGCGGTGGTTGTCACACTGGCGCGTGCCATCCATGGGGGGTACCAGGGCTTTACATTACCTCTTTGTTTCAACGGCCAGTCCAAAAGTCAAGCCTCCCAATTCGGCTATGACCAATGGTCGTCAGTGTACGAGGATGTATGGCATGATGCGGCCGAACAGAAAAGGGAATATCAAGGGTATGATGGAGCAATTGTGCCTCACGTGGTCAACTTCGCCGAAAACAAACCCAAGGAGGGCCTGGTGATCCAATTCCTCGACCACGATGGAGGGTTGGTCCATACTTACAAAAATCCTTACAGCCGTTGGAAATACCGTATCACTATCAAAGATGCTCCAAAGGCAGTGACGGTGTGGACATTGGTAGGAGTCGATGAGGAGAACTGGTGGAATGAGTATGCTCCTGGCAAGGACTGCATTGCGCAGCATGCTCCCGATTCTCACTACGACCCTGGGCTGCAAGTGAATGTTCTGAGTATGGGGCGAGAAGTTGACGACGCCATGTGCGCCTACCTCTTCGATGTGGTGGAAGCAAGGAAAAGCAACCCTAACTCCGTGATCTTCGTCGGTGCGGGGGTGTTAGGCAAGAATTCGTGGCTGAGTCGGAAAATCGCCAACAACCCTGAAAGGGCCAGATTGCGGACGGACTACCCCTGGGGGGAGGTCGTCCAAAGAATTGCGCGCAGAGCGGCATCGTGGGGAAACCAACCCGGAGGAGATACGGGGACCAAAAAAAAAGGTGACCCGCATCATTTTAGGGAAAAGGACATTTTGTTGACGAGTGCCACTTGGAAGCTATTTGAAGAACCGTAGGTTTTATTGCAGAAAACTCTTATTCTGATATCTTTGCAAGGCAAACCTCGAGACAGATGTCGTTTTCAGGTGGTTCAGACTCAAAGATCCGCCAGACAGATCTCGTAATAGGTGAAACTTCAGTTTTGATAGGTACAAAGCACATGCTTGAGCCAGTTTGAGCCAATTTTTGAGCCGTTTGAGCCACAAGCTTAGGGTTGAGGGCTTCTAGCGTTAGGGTGCAAGGCTTAGGGTGAGGCTTTAGCTCAGGTTCCACAGACCTTGGGCTTTGGGATTAAAGGTTTCGGGTTCTGGTTTCGGCAGGCCCGGTGCGATTCTCGATGTCCCTCCCGCCCCTCCCTCACGATTTTCAGCTGTCGCCGAACTTCTTGAGCCAGTGTGGCACTGCAGCTGCCAGATATCGCTTAACCGCTGTACTATGCACAGCCGCAGCATGGCATCCACTGGCCTCAGATCGGTCCCCGCTTCTTTGAAAAATGTACAGTAGTACGATGCTCGTGATGCTCCGTACTGTATATTTGTCTCTCCACGTACTTCAGGCAAGAATCTATGGAGCAAAGCCGGCGAACGAAGTCTTCATCACCGAAACAAGACATAAGTCGAGGGTTTATGGGCAGCTTGTGCAAGTCGGCGAACATATGAAACCAGGTGTGCAGCCTGATTTGCAGAGACGTTTCATTTCCAAGCCAGAAACATATTATGTTGCAATGTGTTTAATGCAGAGCAAGAATCTTTGGTCTCAGCTTGTACCGGCGTTTGCCGGCACAAAAAGCATCATATGCCAGGTACACGTAGCCCACCAAAAAGCGGCGAACCAGCTTCTTCGCTTTTGCAACAGCAGACGGTGGGAATACGTAGAGATAAGCATCCATGAGTTTGATCAGCCGAGCCAATGACCGGACGGTCCTTGGATCCAAGCTTAAAGGCATGGCACTTGCCTTTATCTGAATTCCGAAACTGTGAAGTCATGTCTCAGATTCAGCACTGCAGCTTTCTCCTTATCTGCCCAGGTTTTTGTAGCCACCGGAACCAATACTGCCTGGGCTTCTGTAGCTATGCAGAAATTCAGGCCTGTATGTATTAAGGCTTAGGGCTCTGGTTTTAGAGTATACAGGGTACAGGCCGGGGTAAGGGTGGTTACCGGTAGACTATTCGACAAAAAAAACGCTTAAAAACAGTTGCTGTCAGCTCCAGGAACAAGCCATAAACATATGACTTTGATGTCTGCACCCTTAGCATTAAGGAAAGCGTACTTCTCATCTGCATTTAGATTGAAGTCGTCGCAAGCAAGTTCGAGGCCTTGGGCTTTCGCCCATGTAGAGGCAAGAGTGTGAGCTTTTGTCAAGCCTCCGTTTCCCAGAAAAAGGTCCAGCATGACTGAAGCGGTAAAGTCTGGCCCAAAACCCCTGTAGCACACATGTAATGTGTCGAAGTGGATCAGCTTGCTGTCGAAGCCATCGAAGTCGCAGAGTGCAGGGATTCCGTGCCCCCTTTGGGCAGTCCAGAGCTCTTGCAAGAAGTCCTCAGTTGAACTTGTTACGATCAAAAAATGTTTGCCTCTGGCAGACAAGCCTCTGTATTTTTTTCGCGACCACAAAGCTCCCAAGGAGAATCTCCGAAGAAGTTCAGGTAGTGCCCGGACCCCATAGATAAGAATGTTGCACCATCCATCAAATCTATCGTGGAGGAAAGCCTGGGATGAGTTAAGGTCGCACGGCTTCGCAATATTTGGACCCAGATGCTTTCCTAGATGCTGGCACTGCATGCACATCCTGCACACAGATCTAGCTCGTCACTTCCAAGTATTTAGGAGTGAGGGTTCGGTTCGGGCTTTAGGCTACATAAGGATTATGTGTAGACCTGCCTACTTAAAATATCATCCCCCCACTTCCTAGTTGGGTACCTGAAGCCTAACAAATAACCTCGAAAAAGCACATTTACCCCACAGACCCTCAAAGCCGAACGAGAGCATGTCCGGGCCTGTTTCCATTGGCCTCGCCGTTCCCCTTCCAGTGTCGAGGACTGAGCCAGGGATGAACTAGCATTGAGAAAAACGATGTACCCGTCTGAGGCACAGGCAAATGCAGGATCTGTTGGAACCACTTCTGGTCCCCAGCCAATCCCATATAGCATAGCTTTCTGGAAGATATGCCATCAAGTTTGAATCTCCTGGAGACTCGACATCAATAAGTGTTCTTATGGGCCAGAAAACTTAGCACAGAATAACCCGGTCTAGGCACACTTTCTTCAAATCATCTTTGAGGAAGCTCATAAGAACATCCAAGGTCGCGGGGAATTGCGTGCCGATCTTCTTGTTCTTTTGCATCGCCCGAGTGAGAACCGTTTGACCAGTAAGGCATGCGAGGCACAGGCGAGTCTTCAAAGTGTCCTAGGTGAGCACGAGCGAATTGCATGACCAAACAAGCGGACACAACAGCTTCATTGCCAACAAGGCTCACCCGAATGAGTATAAGGAAATGACATATTGATAACAAGCACGTTCTTGGACTTTTGGCCAGGACCCTCATCGCCGTGCAGACGAAATGGGAGATCATCAGGCCCTGTCGTGATAAGAACCCTTTTATTTAGAGTTAAGGGCTTAGGGTAATTTCGAGGTTAGGGTACAAGACCTCCAGTGTAGCCAACGTCGCCGTTCTGCAAAGTGCTGCTCAACCTGAGCTGCTCGTATCTGTCAGAAGCGAAGTAGCTCCTGCAAACTAGCCTAGTGCACCTGATCCTGACTTACAAACCAAGCAGCAGCTCGCGATCTTGCGGCGTAGAAGAACCAAAGCAGATGGCTTGCAATAACCAAGGCCGCTTCTCCAACCACGACATGTAGGAGCTCGGAAGAACGATACCTTAAGTTGGTTAAGGAAGGTTGTGCGGAAAACTACAAGAGCATGAACGTTCGACGATGGAAGTTTGAACAAGTCTCTGCATGGTTTCTCAACCACAAGTTTCTTCTTCTTCGACACCAGCAGCGGCAACTTGATTTTCGATACCTTTGGTAATGATCGTGCGAAAAACTCGTGGAATCGCTTCTCTGTTCTCCTCCCAGCCAGCTTCTTGGTGATCCAGTGCATGTTGTTGCCGCTTTCGGTTTCAGCGGCTGAACACAAGTCGCTTATCCAGTTCACATCAGCATTCTTTTTTTGTAGAGCAGCGACAGCAGTATTCGATAGAGATGCATTCGCCAGACTCTGCAGCCTGTACGGCAGTGCTTCTTGCTGGGGCACATAAAGCTTGTCCAGGGTTACAGGAGAGCTCGATGCAGCAGCATTTTTCGCATCCAATCGTCGTTGTAAGTCTCGCCGCCTCGGAGCTGGACGTTTCCTGCGATAGGGCGGTGCATTTTAACCTAGCTAGCGGGTTCAGGGTTCAGGATTTAAGGTGTTCCCTATATATATATGGGGTGAAAGTTCATTAGTTTTACGGCTTATGTAATGTGAAGCTTACGGCAGGTCGGAAGGAGTCCTCTTCGGCTCGGGTGCCGGGACGTCGAGGCCTGCGTGGGGAGCTGTGCTTCTAAGCTTGTAAAAGCCAGAGGAAGACACGGAGAGAAGAGAGTGGAGAGGGGAGAGAGGAGATCGAGAGAGAGAGAGAGAGAGAAAGAGACAGAGAGAGAGGGAGACCGAGGCAGTGAGAGAGCACCAACGAGTGCAAGGATTCAACAGAACCAAATGAGCTCATGTGCAAGCAAAAACCTGAGATGATCTTTCGTCTCCGTCCGACGGAGGAGTCGCAGCGTGCTGCAAACCGGTGGGCAGCAGGCTGAGTCACAAATCTTGCGATCATGATTGTGTTCTAGCTCCTAGCAGCCCGTGCCTCTTCCCAGTTCACAGCTCACTTGTTCAAAAACCAGCACGAGCTAGCTTGGATAAAGCTGGTGGGCAACAAGCACACATAGACACATATATAGGTGCGGGAATGCAGACTATATAGAAGCGGTATGTAGAGCAAGTGCCTCGTAAGCCCAGCTTATCCTTCTAGCATGATCAAAAACCATCAAGTAGCTGCTAGCTGCTAGTTTGCTGCGGATAGACCAGAGCATTTACAGGTTGGCTCTTAATCATGCCCGGATATTGTGTTAACTGCTGCAGCCAGCATCAAAAACCGAGTGCATATGGTGCACGAAGTTCCCGGGAAGCACGACTTTGTTGGACACAGCATCCGAAGGTTCATCGGTTTGTCAGTGGTACATGTGTGTAGCTCACAGTACATCAAGTGCCCATCCCAGAATCAATCACAAAAGCCAGCAATATTGCTAGCTGACAAAGATCCAGCTGCATGTCGGGCCGAGCGAAACCCTGCACTTCATATGGAAGCTAGCATGTACCGTGACTAGGGATTGCAACGTCTCGGTCCGTGGCACAGCACATGCAGCAGTGGGGCCAACTTCACTCATGCCTTCTTGTTTGCATGCACCTTGGCCACACCCAAAGCAAACTCCTGCAGTTGCGGATGCGATTGCAGGTAGAACACATTCACACTGCCACGAGTCGTATTTCTTCAAGCTCCTAACATATGGTTGCTATGTGTCTCTCACTCCCTCGCCATCTCTCTATCTATTTATATCTCTATCTGTCTCTCCTTCTCTCTCTCTCTCTCTCTTAGATTTGTGCGTGTTTTGGGTTCTCGCTTTTTTTTCTCCCTCTCTCTATCTCTCTCGCTCTCTTTCACTCTCACTCTGTCACCTTCTCTTTGTATGTACGACACTGGGACAGACTTTGCCATTGAATGATGTGACAGCAGACAGGGTCCTCTTTGCTGGCACACACCAAGAAAGCCCTTGCCACCTCCTGCCAGGGTTTAAGGTTTAGGCTTTTGGAAGGGGAGAGGGATGGATAGAAAACATGTATATGCGTACACAGCGAAATGGCCTTTAGATGCTCCTGCCATTCGGCCTCGTCAACGGTTTCGTCGAGATTCTTTAAGGCCTGCTACACCATCTGATAACACATACTTGTATGTATGGATGAGTGCATATGCAGAACATACAGACATAGCCCAAAGGCCTTGTACTTCTCCTCGAGCCCAGTTTTGGCCTTTAACAACGAATCCATAACAGCACTGGCATCCTCGAGGTCTTGAAGCTGAAGTTGCAGACGTGCAACCAGGCCGACCTGCCGGGGTCGATTCCACAATTGGGGTTCTGAGTACGTGCTGCACTGTTTAAAGTCCCACCTTGGCAAGCACCTCCTTCTCCATATTTTTTTTCGTTTCGGCTCGGTTGAACCGCGGGAGGGCTTCTTTCAAATCGCTGCTTCTGCATTTTGTCAACTCGAATATTCCGGTTTTCATGGCCGCCGGAGCTTTCGATTTCGCCTTCCCTTTCGCCTTGGCTGTCGCCTTCGCAGAAGCTTTCGCTTCTCCTGCAAAGCCACCCGACCCGATAACAATCAAGGCATCGTAAAGTCGTATTAGCCTGCACTCTCCGTAATGGCAGCCGGCGTAGGCGTAGCTGTCGTAGACTCATGGCACCTGAGATAGGTATGCAAACAGCTATTCTGGAAGGGTCGAGGATGGTTTTATGAATAGGGATATCAGACGGACAGGTTAGGGTTTGGAGTTTTTAATGTAGGGTTTTGTTGCTAGGGTTTGGGCTTTAGTTTAAGGGTTTTTCGAAGAAAGAGAACCAGAACGAAGCGAAGCCAACGAATTGCCACTAAGTCGCAGTTCTGAGAACAGCTTTTTGGCTTCCGGTCTGTTGTCGGAGGCAAGTGGTTTGATGCTTGCCTCGATCTCGCGACGTTTTTCGAAGAGCTCAGTCTCGGAAAACTCTGTGAAGATATTGTACAGCAGGTTCCCCGAACCAGCAGGGAAGTTCGGATCGTCCCGGCAGCCTTAAGTAGACCAACATGCACAACTTTTTGGTTGTGGCTCGATTGGACTGAGATCCTTACGGCCTTGCTGGACAGCAAAGTCAATGGCATCCTTCGCTTTCTGTTCGTTGGGGGCGTAGTGCGTGAACACCTGTTCTCTCGTCAAAGACTGCTTTGTCTTTTTTTCTTGCCTGAGCTCAGCACATGAAACGAACGAGGGAGCCCAATGAGCCCAAAAATTCTAAACATTGACTAAGCTGCTCAACCATCATATCCTTCAAAATGATCCCCACCGTGACCTTGTTCACGTCCTGTCCACTCGCCATGTACTCCTTGATCATATCCTTCCTCACATCACCACCCGTCCTCCATGCTTGAAGGATCTCCAGCGTGCATCGGTGAGGGTTTTTCGTAAGCCGGCGGACCGTCTGGATCGCTGCGGCCGCTTCTTTTCGTGCCACTGTGTTCGCCTCGGATCACTAGATGTATGTTGTTTGGTGGCTGCTCAAAGTTTCGGTTTGATTATTCTCATATATATATATACACACATACATGTATACCCCTAGTAATAGTTTATTAATGTATGATGTTATATAACTGTCTATATATATATACAAATATTTATACTCCTCAGAGAAAAACTTAAGGTTTCAGGATTTAGGTTTAGGTACTATAATAGATTGGTCTAGGCACTTCATCAGCAGCAGTCGGTTCACTCGTCGAAGTCTCGGGAGGAGCAGCTGCTGGGATCGTTGTCGGAGGGGTCGCAGTGCCCTGAGGTGGGGGTGGGCCCTGAGGCGGGGGTGGGATCGGCGAAGCAGGTGTTGCGGCCGGGGTCGGCGACGGAGCGGGGTTCGCACTTGTTGCGGCCGGGGCCGGCGAAGCACTGGGGTTCGGAGTTGCTGCGGGCGGGGAGTTTGTCGAAGCACTGCTGCCCAAGGCCAAGAGCTTTTGTCGCATGGCCTCATTCTTCCTTTGGATTTCATCCAACTTCGCCTTCTTCGTAGCATTTGCAACCTCCCTTTTGAGCCTTTCCTCCTCCTCGTGTTCCTGTTTGAGTTGTTTCGAAAGTGGCGATAGATCCATGCTCCGGCTCGGTGCTGCTCGTGTGGGGCTGTCCGGCTCGGTGCTGCTCGTGTGGGGCTGTGTGCACGTTTGAAGTTGCTCGTGCCGATTGTCGGTGGCGTCTCCCCCGTCAGCTCCTGGATCCGTTGCCTCATTCTTCGGATTTCATCCTCAACAGCTGTTTGCCGTTTCTTTTCGGTGTCTGCTGCTTCTGCTGCTGCTGCCTCTTGTGCTTTCTTAGCTGCTTCTGCTGCAAGTGCTTCCTCTCGGCGTTTCTTCTGGGCATCAGCTGCTTCTATCTCTGCGGCTAGTGCTGCTTCGAGCCTTTTCCTCTCGGCTTCTGCTGCTGCTGCTTCCTGTCTTTTCTTTTCGGCTTCTGCTGCTGCTGCTTCCTGCCTTTTCTTTTCGTCTTCGTCTGCTGCTGCCTGTCTTTTCCTCTCGGCTTCTGCTTCTGTTGCTTCTTGTCTTTTCTTCTCGGCTTCTGCTGCTGCTGCTTCTTGTCTTTTCTTCTCGGCTTCTGCTGCTGCTGCTGCTGCTGCTGCTGCTTCTTGTCTTTTCTCCTCGGCTTCCTGTGCTGCTGCTGCTGCTTTTCTTTTCTTCTCGGCTTCTTCTTCTGCTGCTGCTGTGCCATGCGTAGTGGCCTCTAGCTTCTGCTTAGCAATGCGGGCCACAGCTTCTTCGTATAGTTGTTTCAGCGTAGCCTGTTCTTGTTCAAGTGCCTGCATCTTGCTATTGCTTTCAGGCTCAGAAGCCTGGGCGGAAGCTGCGGCGTCCTGACGGACAATGCTCGGGCCACTGCTTAGCTTCGGTACTGAGGGGCGGGTCAGGGTACAGGATTGAATCGCAGGGTGCAATTATTAATAAGAGTTGAAGCTACAAGCTTCAGGATTGTTGACTACACTCCTTTATGGCTCGGGGCTTTAGGACTTTGGTGTTCGTGGTTTCCGGTCTTTGGGGTATTTGGAGAGGGGCATAGGGTTTAGAATCTAAGCTGTTTGTGTGGCTATCAGAAAGCTAAAGCATGTGTCACAGTATATCTGCAATCGGCCTCTAGTATAATTAAGGAACCGCAGCACACCCTTTTCGTTTGGTTGTGGTAAGTAAGGTTCAGGATTTGGGGCACGTAGTTGTGCCGGGCACATGTGTCCCAGCCTCTTCGCTCATAAGCCTTTCCAACTCCTTTTCCAAGTCGTCATCGTCGAAGTCGTTGGCAGCGGGTGCCGGTATTCCATCCCAGGGCTGTGTGGCTTGCGAGTCCTCTGCAGTAGCCTTGGCTATAAATCTAGAAGCACACATAAAGCCTTACGAGCTCCCGAAGCCAGGCATGAGATGACTTCATAGCCAAGTCTCGACACCTGAATCCAAGCCCAGATCAGCCTGTCACGTACCAGCAGATATTATGTGATCTCGTATATGTATATGTATATATGTGTAAACATTATATGGCAGCTCAGAAACACAGGCCTCCATTAGCTCCACCTTTGCAGCTCGAAGCTCAGCCTGCGGCGAGGTTGTTAATTTAAGGGCTTGAGATTCAATATATTTTGGGGGTTGTAATATTAAAGGCTCCACAAACTATAACCTTTGTGTGAGTGGCCTGTGCTTGGCGGGCCGTGTCGCCGTCGGGTGGCCGCCTTAACTCGAAATCATCGACCACACCTCTAGGTGGCTTGTGTTTCCATAAGGTACGAGCCGTCCTGATTCTGCCATCGGATCCGTGGAATTGGGGCCCAGATCCGAGTACTATAGCGTGTACGGTTACGTACGGCTTTTGTACGGGTGCGGTTCTTTCTTCGTTGACTATGGCGTACGGATACGTACGGTTGTGTACGGTTGCCTCTGTTCGTGGAAAGTAGTGTAAGCCATCAAACCTCAGCATGCGAAAAGACCCTGCTTGAGCAATTGGATCTGCCAAGCAGCGATATTCTGCACCCAGCCGTACAGGAAGCCTCCAAATTATGCATAATAGATGCAGACCACTAGTGCACTACCAGGCGAAATCCGTACCCGTCTAAAGCCGTAAATGAACACACAACCGGTACCCGTACAAAGGCGTACAACACCGTACTTCCTATAGCT